ATTAACTCCGCCCTCCAAAGCCAGCGTTTACGTTAGCATGGCTAATAATAGCAGAAGCTCCGTTGCACAACTGAGTCAGACCCAGAGGCAGAGTCGTGATCGTAGCTTTTTTTTTCTCCCCCTCCTCTGCTCTGCCCTCACTCTGCATGCTGTTACCAGAGCAGGGAGCAGCAGCGGTCAAAATACCTCAGAAACCCGAACAAATAGGTTTTAACAAGGTTTTAATAAGCTAAACAATAGAGGTACATGAGAAAACGTGTTCATAACGAACGAAAATAAATAAATTGTGTCCATGCCRGTCTYRAACCCTRGTYTCCCACTCTCTGGTCCAACACTCTACCCACTGCCCTATTGGAGGCTTGTTGTGAAATAAGCTGCGCATTGCACAACAACAACCGTGACGACTTTTCATACTGATGAGGTTGGGCTTCACCCAGGTAAGGGGCTGAACGCAGGTTCCAGTGGGTTGTCGTACGGCTTGTGACATCACAAAATGACGGAAGCATAAAACTTGTCGTTAATACACATTAAAATACGTTTACTTACAGTAAATATGCCCCTGGGTRCATTTTTTTGGTCCTAGGACTGTTTGTTTAAGAAGTACATACCCAAAGTTGAGTAAAAAATCCTTTAAAAAGTGAATTTTGCATAATAGGTCCCCTTTAACAACTCTGTGTCGTTCCTGTTTTTTTTCTCCCCAGCTGTGGGCCCTGCTGCACTTCATCATGCCCACGCTATTCGATTCCCACGAAGAGTTTAACGAGTGGTTCTCCAAGGACATTGAGAGCCACGCCGAAAACAAGTCTGCTATTGACGAGAGTAAGGACTGCCACAGAATGCCCCCCTCCCCCCCCACTAATCCGTTGGCTGACTTTTGAATTTGTATTTTTTGTATTTTTGCCAGCGCTGATGCTTTATTCCTACTCAGTGTTGCGTGTAATATGTCGTGTAGCTAAAAAAACTGTTTTTTCTTTTTCCTTTTTTTTAGATCAACTCTCCAGATTGCACATGATCCTAAAGCCGTTCATGCTCCGAAGGATCAAGAAAGACGTGGAAAACGAACTCTCAGACAAAGTAGGAAACCAGCCTCTCTGTTCTATTCTCACAGAACCAAACTTGTTGTTTTAATACGAAAGAAATCTGGGTTGCTAATGGAAAACCTGCACAAAAAAATGGCAAAACTCATACTGTTTTTTTTCATCATTTATTTGTTCTCCATTAAAACTCAAAGCTAAAAGTGCAGTGTCAAAATTTTTCTCAACTATCGGGCTTGAAGTCTGTTTTCGCCTCGACTCGCTGACACAAAACGTGTTGTATTGAACCTGTGAGGGACTCTTGTGCAGATGTTGAACTCGCGGTCTCCCGCTGACACCAGCGGCGCACACATCCTCACTCGCCGTAGGAGTCTCCATATGCAGCATCAGAGCAAAGGCAGAGTTCACAACTCCCCCACATCTGTGCCTTTCACTCTCCTCTGCACCCACACGCAGTCCTGCCATCTCATTTCCTTTACTTCTTCACACTCGTTGGCTTTCTCTTGTTTTGCTAGCAGTCGACGCTAACGGGGGGCGAGGTTCGCTCAGTGTTTTCGGTGCCGCTTTAGATGGAATATATTGTCGCTGATCACTTTCACTGCTTCCATTAGGAGTGACATATAAAAACATCGAGGTTAATGTGTGTTTTTTTAAAGAATGCTACGCATGAAAGCTGTGATTTTTTTTTTTGATGTGGCGTACAATTGTGGGAAAAGGAAATCCAACCCTTTTAAAATTTTAGGATTTTATTCATCAGAATGTTTCAAAAATAAAGTGTCAGAGAATTCTTCTATCTTTCTCGGTCTGCAGATTGAGATCCTGACCTACTGCCAGCTGACAACCCGGCAGAGGCTGCTCTATCAGGCTCTGAGGAACAAGATCTCCATCGAGGATCTGCTGCAGTCCTCCATGGGGACAGCCCAGCAGGCCCACAGCACCACGTCCTCACTTATGAACCTGGTCATGCAGTTCAGGAAGGTATAAACTGTAGCAGCCTTTTTTATTGTTTCAGTCTTTAATACAGAACAGGATAAAAGTAGAACTTGCGTGCACGGTAGCATCAGGTCAGTAGAAGYACTGGTACGCTTTGTCACTGTGTTGTTGTGTACGTTTGCGCAGGTTTGTAACCACCCTGACTTATTTGAGCGCCAGGAGACACGCTCTCCTTTCCACATGTCCCTAAAGCCCTACGTCATGCCAAAGTTCCTCTACCGCCACAGCCTCATCCATGAACATAACCAGGTCAAGAACAAGTAAGTTCTTGATTCTACCCAACATTCCTGCCCCGGTTTAGCAGTATGTCTGCTAAATTTGTTAGGAGTAGATTTATGTGTAAAGCTCTGTGTTGTTTCTTTATGTCCTTTAGAGGCTTTTAGCTATAATCACAGCAATTTAGTGGATCTAGCTAGAATCAGATTCTTATTTCTATATGCTACCCCTAAGCTTAGATTTTGGGGTCTAACTTGTTGCACCTGTGCTTGTTTGTCTCAGGCTGCTTCAAGTGCTGCTGTCTCCCTTCTCTCCTTATCACATCCAGCAGTCTCTTTTTCACAGGAAAGGTAAAACACACATGAAAATACACAAAACTTTAGTTTATTTAAAAAAAAACACTGTTTTAGATAATTCCTTCTTGTTTGTGCTCCTTTAACGGTTCCAGATGATGACAAAGGAAGCTGCTTCTCCTTTTTGCGTTTCATCGATGTGTCACCAGCTGAGATGTCCAATATGATGTTGCAAGGCACTTTAGTCAGGTGGGTGTTTATTAAACCGACATACAGTGCAGTAACTTAACACAGGGGTTTCCAAACTTTTCCATGCCACGGACCCCCAAACAGCATTATCTTTTAGCCGGTGACCCCCTTGGAAACCCACATACAGTGATACAAAATGTGTAAAGAAATATCAACTTTTAGAAAATGTTTTCACTTTTACTCACTATTCAATAATTATTACCAATGTTTTATCCACTGTGTTCTAGAGGTGTAAGAAAATATCGATACACTGAAATATTGCGATATTTCATTTCCCGATACTGTATCGATATTCTAAAGCCCTGTATCGATTTTTTAATTAAGGTTTAAAATGTCAACCTTCTTGCCAGCTGTTCATTTTATGTTGTAGTTCAGCCTCTGACCACTAGTTGGCAGCAGTGAGCCAGCCATTTGGCTCCTCTACCTCTTGAGG